TATATATATATATATATATATATATATATTAGTTTGAGTCTGCAGTCGAGTTCTGCGCCTGTCTGTCTGCCCCTTGTGGCTTGGGTTTGTTGGTTGCCTGTGTATCTGTCTGCTCATTCGTCTTTGTCCACTTATTTCCTTTTACTTGTTTATTCGTACTTGTTCAATTGTCCGCGTGTATTTGTCGCTGCCTGTCTGCTTATTCGTCTGTGCACGTTTATTTGTCCGTCTGCCCCCTTTTTGTAGCGTTGTTCGTTTGTCCCTTCGAGTTTGTCGCTGCCTGTTTTCGACTGTGTCTCTCTATTTGCCTGTTCCTATGCCCTTTCTCTCTTTATGCCCTTTCCATTTGTTCAGTTCTGCTCCTGTGTTCGCCTGCTCGCTTAATTTTTTCTTTTTGTCTATTTACATATATATTTGTGTCTTTCCGTGCGTTTATGTCTGTTCGGGTATTCATCTTTTTGTTTATATTGGTTTCTTCTATCTCTATCTGTTTAGTTATGTCTGTCTATATTTGTTCCCTGTAATTGATATCTATTTGTTTTTACTTATTCTTTAATCGGCTGCTTATGTTGTTTTTGTATTTGTTATTCTTTATTTGCTTGTTTTTTCTAACTTCCTTTGCAATTGCGTTAGTCGCTACTTGCCGGGGTGCGGCAGCGGCAGCCCTCTATCAGCAGCAGCAGCACGAGTAGCGCCATAGCTACGGCCTTTAAGCAGCAGGAGCAGCAACAGCGGCAGTAGCAGCAGCAATAGCAGCAGCAGCGCCAGTAGCATAGTACAGTATACGATTGGCAGCATCCGCACCAGCACCCGTACCATCAGCATCAACGTCAGCAGTAGCAAGAGCATCAGCAGCAGCAACAGCAGCAGCACCATTCTTACATGCTATTTGCATCTGCTTCGAAGTTCGTCTTAAATTTCGCCCATGCCTGTTTTTTAGCTCCGAAGATACAGAAGACCTTCCTAAGGGCCCACTCCACCAATTCACCTCCGTCTCCTTTCTTTGCTTCCCCCATTTTCAGCAGCGACAGCAGCAGCGGCGGCAGCAGCGACAGTGGCAGCACCAGTGGCAGCAGCAGTGGCAGCAGTTGCAACAGTGGCAGTAGCGGAGCAGCAGAGGCGAACGCTAAAATGAGACAAAGAGGCCTCAGGAGGCCCCCGGAGGCCGCAAGGCTCTCGGGGAGCCCCACAAAAGGAGCGAAACCTCAAGAAGCTCCAATATGCTGCTGCTGCTGCTGCTGCTGCTGCTGCTGCTGTTGATGCTGCAGTTGCTGCCCATGGGTGTGCAAGAACTTTTGACAGGTTTAAAAGGTGCCGTCTCCTGACAGACGCCCTTAATGACTTATATTATTTTGTACAGAGACAAATCTGCAGACAAAACGCGAAAACGTGCAGCGGGGACTGGAGGTGACCCCGAATAACCACCGCATGCAGCAGCAGCAGCAGCAAAAGGAGCAGCAGCAGTAAGTAGCAGCAGCATCAGTAACAGCTGTTGGGCGCAGCCGACCCACGGGGTTTATTTATGCATTTCCATAAAATGTCTCTAATAAACAGTTAAAAAATGATACATACTTAATTTTTTTAACAGCAGCGACAGCAGCAGCGACTGGAGCAGCAGCAGCAGCAGCAGCCACCGTTGAGGGTTATCGGGTTGGTTCGGTCTGTGTGTGTTTGGGGCTGCAGCAGCAGCAAATGTGTCTTTGCTGCTGCTAAAATACCTTAAAAAGGCAATTAAATCTCATTAAGTTTTTATAAGAGAGCAACTGAGGCAGACATACACCGCAGCAACAAAACCCCAGCAGCTGCCCGTACACTGGGGCCGTCGGCTGCGATGAAGGCTGCTGGGTTAATCCGCGTCTCCTGCAGCAGCAGCAGCAGCATCAGTCTCTGCCACAGTTGCCTCCGCAGGAGCGGTAACAGTCAGAGCAGCAGCAGCAGGAGCAGCAACAGCAACAGCAACTGCAACTGCAACAGCAGCTGCAGCAACCGTTTACGTCCTTCATGACCCTCCATGCGTTTTCAGCTGCTGAGGATGAAGCCTATGAGCTGAAGCCTCCAAGCCGGGGCGCAGCAGCAGCTTAAACAGCAGCACATACCATTCACACAGCTTCGCCAACGACAGCTAAGCTCTGAGGGATCCTAGCTGCACCACCACCAGTACCAACGCCAGCAGCGGCAACAACAGCAAAAATGGACACGCAACAACATAAAGAAGCTCCGCAGGAGCAGCAGCAACAGTATCAGCATCAGCAATCAGCAACACGGCTGCAGTTCAGCAACAGCACCACCAGGACCGTCTGTGGCAAAACCTTCGCGCTAGCACGCTCAAGCCCTACGAAGCAGCAACAGAAGCAGCAGCAACAGCTGCAGGAGCAGCAGCAACTCCAACAGCATCATCATCATCAACAGCAGCAGCAGCAGCATCAACAGCATCAGCAGCAACAACAACAACAGCAACAACTGCAGCAGCACGCAGGTCGGGAGGGAGATGAAGAGGATCTGCTCCTTAGCCTGCAGCAAAAACGGATGCAGCTGCGACAGCAGCAGCAGCAGATCCTTAGGAAGCTGGCTGCTGCGGAACCTTCGGAGACGTACCAGCAGCACCAGCAGAACGAGCAGCAGCAACACCAGGAACAGCAGCAGCAACGGCCCTCCGTGGAAGGAGATACCGCTCAAACTTTCCTCGATACGTCACATTCGAATGCGCTGCAGCTCCACATACACCCCAGTATGCAGCAACAGCAGTCACAGCAGCACCAGTTGCAGAACGCATTGCCGAAGCAAGTGGATTTCAGCGGCAACGACGATGCGTGTGGGGGGTCCCGAGGTCAGCAGCAGCATCAGCAAGGCGACCAGCAGCAGCAACAGTGGGGGCAGCAAGACTACTTGCTGCTTCATCGACTGCGCCTGCAGCGGCTGCAGCTGAAGCAGCAGCAGACGGCACTGCAGCAGCAACTGTCAAAGGAACGCTACCAGAGGGCCGGCAGTATACATCATCAGCGTCAGCTGCAACGGCAGCAGCAGCAGCAGCAAGGGCAGCAGCAAGGGCAGCAGCAAATTCGGCAGCAGCGCCAGGTAAAGGATGGGAATGCGGGCAACACGGAATCTGCCACTCAGGAACTGCTGCAGCAGCAACATCAGCAGCATCTGCAGAAGCAGCAGCAGCAGCAGCAGCAGAGCAGAACGACATCCAGGCCTACCGAGCTGCAGCAAACATCCCTTAGACAAGCATCATCAGCAGCAGCGACAGCACTGCCAGATATGCAGCAGATGCACCAGCAGCTGCCTTCACCGTCGGATTGTCCTGCCAAAAGACAGCAGCGGCAGCAGCAGCAGGAGCAACAACTGCAGCAGCAGCAGCAAGGAAGACTTGCTGCGAGTTCTAGCACTATCAGGCACTGCAGCAGACTTATTTCGACTCGCCAGCAACGTGTAGGTGGCGGCCTCTCTGTACACCAGGAGCAGCAGCAACAGCAACAACAGCAACAGCAGCAGCAGAAGCAGAGGGAAGAAAATTTAAGGAGACTATCGGAGCAGCGACGCTTGCGCCTTGCACGGCACCTGGAGCAGCAGCAACGCCGGCAGCAGCAGCAGCACCTGCAGCAGTGGCAGCAGCAACAGCAGCAGCTGAAGCAACAGCAGCAGCAGCTACAACAGCAGCAGCGAATGCAACAGCAGCTAAGCTCTACAGCGCAACAAACTCAAACAGTAACGAGGTTGAGGCCAGTCTTCTTGCAGCAGCAGCAACAACAGCAGCGGCAAAAGCCGCAACAGCAGCTAGACAACCGGCAGCAACAATGCGGAATGCAGCGGATGCAACAGCAGCCGCTGAGGCAGCAGCAGCAGCCGAAGCACCAGCAGCAGCAGCAAGTGCCGCATCAGCAGCTAGCACAGCAGCAGCTTTTGCACCCACAGCGACCACCAGTCAGCAGCAGCAGCAGCCGCGGCGGGGGGAGCAGAAGCAGCAGCAGTGGTTGCGGCGGCAGCAGCAGCACAAGTCGCCGCAGCAATTTCAACACGGTGGCCGTTCTCTTGTCTGCTGCTCAACAGCAACTGCAGCATGATGCTGCTGCTGCAGTTCAGCGATTTTGGAGAGGTGCGTTGGATGTAAGGGTTTGGGGTTTGGAATTTGGTGCTTAGCGTTTAAGACTTAAGTGCTGCTGCTCTTTATGGCGTTGTCTGTGCGTGCTGCAGCGTATCAACACCGGAAAGCAGCAGCAGCAGAGGCATCGGCAGCAACATCTGGAGCATCGGCAGCAGCAGCATGCCCAGCGGCACTGCGTTCAGAGCCAGAGCAACTGCAGCAACAGCAGCAGGAGCAGACTCAGCTGCAGCAGCAAGGAGAGGGCACTGCAGCAGCAGCAGAGAACTCTCTCGAGCTTTTAATCCGCAAAACTACGTGGAAGCTGCATCAGCACACTTTGAGACAGCAGCAAGAACAGCAACACGAGCAGCAACAGGAGCAGCAGCAAGAGCAGCAGCAAACCAGAGATGTTATAGGAGATGGTGGTGCTTCTGAAGAGTCAACAACCGCAGCAGCAGCAGCTGAAGAGGAATGCAGCCTTGCACCGAAGAACAGGAGCAGCAGCAGCAGCAGGAGCCGTGCAGCTTCTGCTGCTGCTGTGAAGCTGCAGGCTGCGCATGCCTATGTACGGAAGCAGCACAAATTAGATCGCTTGTTGCAGCAACTGCTGGCTTTAATGAGAGAGAAACTGCCGCAGCAGCAGGAGCAACAACAGCACGAATCGGAGCAGCAGCAGCTGCAGAAGCAGCAGCAATCGCAGGAGCAGCAGCGGCAGCAGCAGCAAGACTCCCACACGCAGGTATCGCAAGCATCCCAGCAGCAGCTTTTGCCGCCATCTCGCCGCTTCCTCGAGCACCAGCAGCCGCAGCAGTATCAACAGGAGCAGCCGCAACTGCAGCGGCAGCAGCAGGAACTGCAGCAGCAGCAGCAGCAGCAAGTCCAGCAGGTGAATGCCAGTGCTAGCTACACTCCACGTGCGCAGTTGTTGTCACTGCTGCCACCGCAACAGCTCAGCACGGACAGTAAATGCAGCAGACCACCAGCAGCAACAACAGCAGCAGCATCGAGGGGTTGCAGCACCACCCCACGCGATGTAGCAGAGCAGCAGCAGGATGCAGCAGCAGCAGCAGCAGCAGCACGGGCTTGCCTTGCCTCACCACGATGCACCTTGGAGTCGCCTCGCGTGCAGCAGCAGGACGCAGCAGCAGCAAGAGCGTACTTGGCTTCGCCACGGTGCACCTTGGAGTCTCCTCGTTTGTCGGCTTACTTGCAGCAACAGAAGCAGCAGCAGCAGCAACATCTGCAGGCCTTCAGTGCCGCTGTTAGCCCAAGAAGTCCGAGGCCCGCCCGATTCCCTGCTGAGGCAGCAGCGGCAGCAGCAGCAGCAGCAGCTGCTGCTGCAGTGCAGCAGCACAAGCTACTGCGCGCAGCACCTGCAGAAGTAGAAAGCCTCGTGCAGGCGGTGGTGCAGGCGGTGCTGCAGCAGCTACATCCGGCTGCTGCTGCTGCAGCTGCAGCCGCCCATAGGTTAACATCAGTTCCACGAGCGTCCTCGGGCGCAGGTGCAGCAGAAGCAGCAGCAGCTGCAGCAGAAGCAGCGGCAGCAGCAGAAGCAGCAGTAGGAGAAGCAGCAGCAGCAGAAACAGATGCAAAGAGACCCCCTGCTGCTCTACCTGGCAGCAGCGACGAAGAGGACTATGACCGTTCGCCCTACAGCGACCGTCCTATAAGCAGCCGCAGCTGCCGCAGCAGCAGTAGCAGCCGCAGTAGCAGTAGCAGCAGCTGCGTGGTCATTCCAGTGCCGCATTTCTCGATTGATCAGATGGACAGATGCCGAGAGCAGCAGCACCAAACCCTCAACTCTTCCATCCCTGCTGCTGCTGCTGCTTCTGCATCTGCTGCTTCCCTGCCGGCAACAGCAAGAGCACCAGCAGCAGAGCTCCCAGTAGCAGCGGCAGAGGGACAGACTGTCGCAGATGCTGGGGCTGCTGTAGCTCTTGCAAACAGGACCGAATGCTCCCCTAAAGTAACTTCGACTCCGCTCCCCTTAGCAGCATCAACAGCAGCAACAACAGCGGTAGCAGCAACAAAATCTTTATCATCAGCAACAGGAACACTTGAATGCCAAATGCAACAAGCTGCAGCATCAGTGCACGAAGCTGAGGTGTCTGCAGGAGCAACATTAACAGCAACAGCAGCGACTACAGAACCAACACCAGCAGAAGCGGAATCGGAATCGCGAACAAATGCTGTGGTTGCATTTGAAAAGGAGACTGCAAAAACCAGTGCAACAGAAGCTACAGCAGCATCAACAGAAGCAGCGGCAGGAGAGCCAGACTGTGCGTCCGCTACTACTTCTGCTGTGCTGCAGCAGCCAGAGTTGTGCAGTCTGCAGCTGCCTCAACAGGAAGAGCAGCAGGAGCTGCAGCAAGTGAAGCAGCAGGAGCAGGGGCATCTTGAAGAGACAACCGATGAGCAACGGCAGGATGGTGAGCAGCAGCAGCAACTACGGCGACAAGTGCAGCATTTTCTGCAGAATCAGCGGCAAACGGAGCAGCAAGAGCAGCGGGAGCAACAGGAGCAGCAGCAGCAAGATTGGAATTTGCTGCGTGGGTTGCCTCAGCTGCAGCACCCACGAGACGCGCACTGTACGGACACTCCAGCGCCGTCTCCCCGACGGCAGCGGCACCACGCTGCTGCAGCTTCCGATGCTTCTGCTGCCGCTGCTGCTCCTTCTCACCCGGTGGAGCAGCAGATGAAAGCCGCAAACGATGCTGCTGCCCCCTGTACATCTGAAGAAGAAACAACGGCTGTAGAGGTCGCAGCAGCAACTCCAGCAGCAGGAGTAGCGGGATCAGCAGCAGGAACTGCAACAAAGGCCGCAGCAGAACCAGAAGCAGAAACTGCAACAGGAGCAACAGCGGATGCAGGAGCTGCAGCGGCGGCAGCAGAAAAGCTCGGGAAGGAGCAGGAGGTTGTTATGAAGCAAGGGGCGGACAGAGACGACTCTTTCATCAGAAAGGAGCAGCAGAAGCAGGAGCAACAGCAGGAGCTGCAGCAGCAGGAACTTCTACGGCAGGAAGACCGCATGCATCGTCAGAAGGAGCAGAAGCAGCAACAAGAGCAGCACGGGGAGCATCTGCTGCTGCATGAGACTGAAGGTCAGCAGTTGATGCAGCAGCAGCAGCTGGCGCAGGAGGATTCGAAGGAAGAGTTGCAACAGGAGCAGCAGCTGGAAGCGCATTTGGCCTGCCAGCAAAAGCAGCAGCAGCAGCATGTGCTGGAGGTCGAAGGGGTTGAGCAGAAGCAGGAGGAACAGCAGCAGCAGCAAGATCAGCAGCAGCAGCAACAACAACAGGACCAGCAGCAGCAGCAGCTGCGAGATCTAACTGCAATGCACATAGACTATGCTGGTGGTGTGCTGCGGCTAGAGGAGGAGCAGCAAGACACGAGTCCTGAGGCAGCTCTACGCATCGCGCTGTTGCTGCTGCAGGAGAGAGGCATCCTTTCTACGGATAGAGCAACTGTAAACCCTGGTGCTGCTGTTACTGTTCTTGCTGAAGCTGCTGCTGCCTTTCTGCTGCTGCTGCTTTTTATGGCCGCCCCCATCAACACTGTGACTTTAGCAAGTCGACTGCTATTGCTGCTATTGCCGTTACTGCTGTTGCTGTTGCTGCTGCCGTTGCTGCTGTTGTTGTTGCAGCAGCTGCTGCCTTAGTGGTTCGACTGTTGCTGTGGGTATGTGTTTAGGAGTTTGTACGCTCTGAGGACATCCGGCCTACAGAGGAACTCTACCGCAAAGTGGTAAACCCGTAGACCCTAGACCGTAGGCCGTCGGCGTTGTGTCCTGCTGTGCTGGCGTTGTGACCATGGGGCTAAGAAGTTAGGGTTTAGGGTTTAGGGTTGAGGGCTTGTGTGCAGCACGAGGCAGTCAACGCCCCTCGTTGCACCGCAAAGGACGATTGTCTATCGGCGTTACTTGCAGCTGCACCGGCGGCAGCAGCAGCGGCTGCTGCTGCTACTGCACCAACTGCAGCAGCTGCAACGAAAGAAGAAGCAGAAGCTGCTGCTCCCTCTCTTCATGTGTCTGCTGACTTTGTCGAGTTAATAGCCGATTTAATGTTTGAAGTGGCGGTGCACGCGGAGACCCGGCACTTGCCTGTCCGTGCCTTGCTGTTGCTTTTGCTGTTGCTGCTGCTGGTGTTGCTGCTGCTGGTGTTGCTGCTGCTGTTGCTGTTGTTGCTGCTTGTACTGCTTTTGCTGCCACTGACGGCGTTGCAGCTGCCTTTGATGCTGCTGCTGCTTTTTGAGTATTCCGTGATGAAAATTCGCTTGCACCAGATGCTGCTGTTGCTGCTGCTTCGGCCGTTGCTGCTGCAGGGGACATCTCCAAATGTCTTTCTGGCTGCTACTCCGGAGCCTCGCAGCAAACGGCTGCAGCAGAGGGCAGCTAAGCTGCAGCAGCAGCTAAACCCTAAATTTCAGCAGCAGGGCACCAAGCCCTGCCACATCACTTGGAAAGATCTGCTGCACCAAGTAGGTGCAGGGTTTGGGGTTTAGGGTTTGTGAATTTGACCCTCTCGAGTGGCATGTGGAGGACGAAACAGGCGAAGAGCCCATGCGGACGCTTTAGGCTGTGGGTTTTACGGTTTGTGCTGCAGGTTGTGCAACGGGCGTCGGTTGGCTACTGCGGAGCGCTGTTGCTGCCTGAGGAGCAGCAGCGGGCCGAGCTTCTGCTGCTGCTGCCCTTTTTTAAGGCAACGAAGGAACCTTATGGGGGTAGGGTTTAGTGTTTAGGGTTTAGGCAAGGGACTTGGGGATCGGATATTGCGGCTTGTCTTGAAGCCCCTTGCTATTATTGCTGCAGCTGCTGTAGTTCTTGTTGATGCCGCTTGTTGCTGCTGCTGTTGTTGCTACTTTTGCAGGAGCAGCAGCAGACCTAACGACGGTTGCTTTTGAAAGGCATTTAGGGCCACAGCGCCTGCAGCAGCGGCTGCTGTCTCTTCCCTACGATAGTCTTGTCTCCCTTTATAATCCCCACGCAGAGCAGCAGCAGCAGCAAGAGCAGAAGCAACTGAGAGAACAGAATGACGATATTGGGGGGCCGTCGGCCGACGGAGGTGAAGCAGAAGCAAGAGTGCAGCAGCAGAAGAAACAGGGGTATCGTCAGCAGCAAGAGCAGCAGCAGCAGCAGGAGGCGGTGACAGAAGAAGACGTGACGCAGCAGAAGCAACATTGGGGTAAAAAGCATGGGGATATTGGGAGGCCTTCACTGGAGGCTGTCAGTGCTGCAGAGGCACCTGCTGCTGCTGCTGCTACTGCGCCAGCAGCAGTAGCACATGCCTCCAGCAGGTGCAGCAGTGTCAACCTGAGCACCCCAAGAGACGACAGCAGCAGCGTCAGCAGCAGCAGCGATGAAGCCTCGCCCTTTAGGCGCGCTGTGTTACCTAGCCCCTGGCTGCAGCAGGAGGAGGAGGAGCAGCAGCAAGAGCAGCAGCAGCTGCTTAGGCTACTGCAGCACGAACAGCAGCAAACACCGTTGCCCACAGGAAGCCACGAATGCAGCAGCGATGAGGACCTGCTGCCAGTGAAGTGTCTTCCTCAAGCCGTAGCAACGACTGCAGAAGCATCGGCTACTGCAGTAGCAGCTACTGCTCCAACAGCATCTGCAGCAGCAGCAGGTACTGCTCTAGCTGCTACTGCTGCTGCTGCAGCAACCCCGTCTGAGGGCGGGCCGGAGGACAGAGGCTAGCGTGCTGCAGCAGCAGCAGCAGCAACACCTCTTGCAGCCAGCATAAGACTCAGGATATCCTCAATATTTGGCAGCAGCACTGACACCAAGACAAGGCCTCTGCAACGGCCGCTGTCTAGACACCACAACCAACCTTGCTGCTGCTTCTGGGGCTGTTGCTGATATGGCTATTGTTAGTAGTATCGTTGCTGCTCTTGTTGCGAATAACTACTGCTGCTGCTGCTGCCATAGCTGCTGCTATGGCGGCAGCTGCTATAGCAGCAGCTGCTGCACATTGCGTTGGCAAGAGCCAAGGCGCTTGAGACTTTATACACTAGACTAACCCTTAAACCACTAGCAAAACACTAAACCATTGGCTAGACCATAAGTCCTTAACATCTACACATCGCTGCAATTTACGACTGGGGGTGCCGCAGCGGCAGCTGCTGCTGCTGTTGCTGCTGCTGCACCCGCAGCAGCGGAAGCATTGACGTCAGAAGCAGCAGTAAGAATTGCAGCAGATAAAAGTTCGAGCAACAGCAACAGCAGCAGCTGCTCAGCAATATGTCCTGCAACACAAGGCCTGCAGCGAGGGCTTGTGTAACGCTTGCAGGCTGCAGCGGCAGCACCGGCAATCAGAGTTATACTGAATTGCGCTATTAAGAAGACGCTGTCTTTTTCTTTTTTATCTAGCTGCTGCAGGAAATCTGATACTGTTGCTTCGGCGGCGGCGGCAGCAGCAAGAACGGCAGCTGCGCAACGGCATCGGCAGCTCCTGCAGCAGCGGCAGCAGCAGCAGCAGCAGCTGCTGCTGCTACTGCTGGCCGTTTAAGCAGATCTTCAAGGAACAACGAGGCAAAGTTTGTGTTTTTCTTCTCTTTAAAAACACATCCACAGCGTACTCTGTGCATTGCTACTGCGGCGACGAAGGGTGTTGCAGCTGCTTCTCGCTGCTGCTGCTACTGCTGCCGTGGTTGCTGCAGACTTGCAACAGCGGCCGCCTCTTCACGTTGCTCTACAATTCCCTACTTGAGCATTGCACATTTTGCTGCTTCCAGCTGTACGAGCAGCAGCAGCAGCAGCAGCAGCATCCGCAGGAGCCACAGCAGCACCCGGAGGTCGCCCTGTCTTTGCTGCTGCTCCTGCTGCCGTTGCACACCCACGTGTTACAGCAGCTGTTGCGGCAACAACAGCAGAAAGAAGGGAGGAGGCGCCTAGCCAGGGTGTTAGTCTCATTGCCACACACGCGCAGCAACTGCAGCAGCAGCAGCATCAACCACACCAGCAGTGGCAACAGCAACCGCAGCAGCAACACAGCTTTAGCTGAAGCTGACGGCTACTTCGCTGAAATATTCTTTTTCAACTGCAGCAGCAACGGAGCTGAGGCGCAGCAGCAGCAGCAGCAACAGCAGAATCTGCTGCGGGACTCCACTGTGGGGCCCCCGCAGCATGACTGAAAGACGCAACAGCCACAGTAGCAACGGCAGCAGCAGTAACGTTGCGAGCAGAGGCGGTAGCGCCGACAACAGCAGGGGCAGATTTAGGGATAGCCTGTAGCTGTCAGTACTGCGTCAGCAACAAGGAGCGAAGCAGCAGCGGAAACAGCATCATCATCAGTAGCAGCGCAGCGCGACATCCTTGCATGGTTGTGGGGAGGTGGTCTGGCGGCCCCTCACGCTGCTGCTGCTGCAGTTGCAGCAGCAGCAGCAGCAGCAGCAACTTTTGCTGCCAGCAAGGGAGCAGCTGCTTCTCTGAAAATGGGCGCATGCAGCTCTAAGGCGCAGCAACAGACACGGTGAGGGCATCACTGGAGGGGCAGCAGCAGCGGTAGCAGCAGCCTGTGTTTGAGGGCAGGACCTGGTGTTCCGCCAGTAGCTGCGGCAGCAGCTGCGGCACCATCAGCCGCTGTTCCTGCTAGCGTTCTCTGCCTTGAACATGACGAGATATTTCACGGCGATGCAAACCCCAAACCCGAATGTGTCTTTGTTATCTGCAGCGATCCGGAGCCACGAGAGCAGCAGCCTGCGCTCGAGCCCAAAACCTCCGAACCCTGCGGCCCTTCTGACGCCGCCGCACCTGCCGAGGCGTAAGGATTTAGGCTTAGGGCTGAGGGTTGGGGACAGGGCAGTGGTTTAGGATGTAGGGCTAGATGGTTAGGGTTTGCGTTCGGTCTGGTGTCGTTCGAACGGCTGTCGGGTGTGGCGATCATTATTGCGTAGGGTCTAGGGTTTGTGGTTGAGGATTTAGGATTTAGGGTTTAGGGTTTGTGTTCAGGGTTAGGAAGATGTCGGGTTCGAGCGCCACGGCGCCTAAAGGTGAAATGCCTACAGCCAGTACAGGTACTCCTGAGCAGCAGCAGCAGCAGCAGGAGCAGCAGCAGCAGCAGCAGCAGCAGCTAGAGCGGCAGCAACAGCAGCAGCAGGAGCAGCAACAGCACCAGGAGCAGCAGCAGCAGCAGCAGGAGCAGCAGGAACAGCAGCAGCAGGACAGGAAAACCTCACAGCCGCAGCAAAACGATGATGCAGCTGCACCACCCAAGCCGTAGGTCGCTGCCTTTGCTGGAGTTGCTGCAGCTGCTGTTTCTGCTCCTGTTCTTGCTGCTGCTTATTTTCTAGGGTACCTCTATTTAGTTGCTGGTGCTGGTCCTCTACGTTTCTTCGTGAGGGCCAGTTGGGGTTGAAATCCTTCGCTTACTGCTGTTGCTGCTCCCGCTGCTGCTGCTGTCGCTCTTACTGTTACTGCTACTGTTGCTGTTGCTTCTGCAGGGGGGGTGAGCGGAAGGCTCAGAAGGCGATCATGCAGCAGGATGATACACAAGCAGAGGATGCTAGACTTTTGGTTCGTGATGCTGCAGCTGCTGCCTGCTGTTGCTGTTACTGCTGCCGTGGCTGCACCTTTTTCTGTTATAGCTGCACTGCTTCTATCGTTGTTGGTACGGGCAGTCCTGCTGTTATTTTCAGCTTTTGTTTGTGTTTGAGTGTTTGGTATGTGCTTGTATATGCCGTGTACCTGCTGCGTGTTTGTGGATACTAATTTTTGCTATAGCTGCTGCTGGTGCCACCGGTGCTGATATGCTCCAGCTGTTGCTGCGCTGCTGCTGCAGAACCACCTGGAGAAGCGGGAGAAGACGGACAGTGATCTGTCTTTAATTCGTTCTTCCCTTTCGGGCAACTTAGTTTGCTCTTCTCTAAATGATTCGGAGGTTGAGGCACTTGCGAATGCCGTCCAATTCTTCACCTTTGCAAAGGGAGATATCGTCACAAAACAAGGAGAAAACGGTAGGGTTTAGGGTGTGGGGTTTACGGTTAAGGGTTTAAGGTTTGGGGCCTATAAATTAGGATTTGGGGCCGAGAGGTGGGGGTCGGGGGGGTTAAGGGCGCGAGGGTTTAGGGTTGAGGGGAGAGGTGTTGGGGTCTAGCGTGGATGCGAGAGTGTAACTGTTTCTAGGGTCTAGGGTTGAGGGTCTTCCTATTGGGCGTTTAGCGACTTGGGTTTGGTTGAGAGGGTTCGTGCTGCAGGCAGTTACTTCTTCATTGTTCACAGTGGAGAGTTCGAGGCAAGTCTAAACTCTAGACCGCAGACTCAAAACCCTATGACTGCTTTAGCGTTGGTGTACTTTATTGGGGCGGGAAGTGGGATGTAGCGCAGGTGCTTGCGTCAGGGGTTAGGGTCTACGGTTTACTATTAGCTGTGTCGTATTTAGGGTTTACCGTTTAGGGCTGACTACTTACTGTTGAGGGTTTAGGGTTTAGGGTCTATTGTGCGCAGGTGATAGTGAACGAGAAGGTGGTTAACAAGATAGTGCAGGGCCAAGCCTTCGGAGAAATTTCTTTAATTCACAATTCTGCGAGGACTGCAACAATTAAAACCCTCAGCGACCAGGCCGCCCTGTGGGGCGTGCAGAGACAAGTTTTCAGGTCAGCAGCTTCAGGAGTAGCAGCACCTGCAGTAGCAGCAGGAACAGTAGCAGCAGGAACAGTAGCATACACAGCGCTGTTGTAACCCGGACCCTATGGCAACCATAGCAACTGCAGCAACGGTAACAGCAGCAGCAGTAACAATACTGGGGTAGCACCGAGCCCACTGGGACTACAGCAACAGTAGCAGCAGCAAGAGTATTTTGTTTTGTTTTCTAGGGAGACGCTGAAGCAGCTGAGCAGCAGAAACTTCGCAGAGAATCGGCAGTTTTTGGCCTCAGTTGAATTTTTCCAAATGCTAACGGAGGCGCAAAAGAATGTGGTACGTACGAGGTTCTAGGGTTTCAGCTTTAGGATCTACAGTTGGAGCGTTGGGGTTGACGTGTGCTTGAGTATCAGCAGCAATAGTAGGCTCAAGGTTAGCGAGGGTTTGTACAGGGTTTATTCGGGTTTATATAATTTTGGCTCAGGGAGTTTTAGGGTTTAGGGTTTGTGCGTGCGTAGATAACTAACGCGCTAGTGGTTCAATCTTTCAAGCCGGGGCAGCCAATTGTCAAGGAAGGGGAAAAAGGAGACATTTTGTATATCATAAAGAGCGGGAAGGCGCGAGTCTCCATTAAAGGAAAAGATGTTCGGCTTTTGCAGGTGAGCGTTTAGGTTTTGAAGGTTAAGAGGAGAGGGCCTAGTGGTTGGCGGAAAGATGCTATAAGTCACAACGTTTAGGATTCAGTGTTTGGCACACAGCAGACACCACGTTGTATGATTTGCTGCTGGTGCAGCCTGCTCCTCGCAGCAGCAGCAGCAGCAACAGCAGGATTGTGTGCAGTTTTCTGCCGTTGAATGTCGGCTATTTGGTGTCACATTGTGTAGGGTTTAGCCAGGGTTTATGGCTCCTTTGTGAATTATTTCCTGGTGCATCTCCTGCTGCTGCTGCTGCATATCCTGGCGCTGCGTCTGCTCCTACTGCTGCGTCTGCTGTTGCAGAAGGGAGACTACTTTGGGGAGAGGGCGCTGCTGTACGACGAGCCTCGCAGTGCCACAATTACGGCAGAAGAGGAGACAATTTGTGTTTCTATTGGAAGGGATCTCCTTGATAGAGTTCTTGGTAACCTCCAACATGTCCTCTTCCGCAATATTATGCTCGAAGGTATGGCCTCAACCCTGAATATCCCTAAACCCTAATTTTCACCAGGTCCGTGGTGCACAAGCGCAACACACCCATGGGGCCGACGGACGGGTGGCATAAACCGTAAACCCTTGAACCAGCCCGCTTTTCACGGACTAGCGGAGCCACTAGGGTCTAGGGGCTATTTGGGTTTAGGGTTTAGCGTGTGGGTGGTACTGCAGCTCTGCAACAAAGCAAGGTGTTTGCGTCCTTTCCGACGGAGCAACTGAGCCGATTGATTGGCTCGGTGGTTGTAAAGGATTATCCGGAGAATTATCTCATACTCGACAGAGAGAACAGGACTAAAGTCCGCAAACCCTAAACCCTAAACCCTGGTCGCTCCCTTGACCAGCCCTTTGTGGGGAGACGCACACACACACAGACACACAGACACACGCACACACACATACACACACACACACATACACACACACACACACACACACACACACGCAACAGCGATCTGCTTCTGCCGAACCGCTTCTGCTGTTGCTCCTGTCGCTGCTGCTGCATCTGTTGCTGCTGCTGGTGGGTTTATGGTTTGGGGCGGAGGGTGTGTTTATGGTTTAGGGCTTTGGGTTTCGGTGGAGTTGCCGCAGGCTTCGGCTTCGCCGCTGTTCTCGGCACAGGGCGTTCGCTTTTTCTTTGTATTAGAAGGGGAAGTTTCGGTCTACGCTTACAGGGAGGCCCCCAGCGCCAGCAGCAGCGGAGGTGGCAGCAGCAGCGGAGAGCCGCGGATGGAGCTGCATTTGGTTGATACACTTAAAAGGGGTCAGGCCTTCGGCGATGAATATGTGTTGTCTCCTAATAAGCCCTTCGCCCACTGCGTGCGCAGCAATGGGCCCGCGAAGGCAAGGCAAACCCTAAACCCCCAACCCTAGATATCCCCTGTAGTGGGCATGAAAATTGCGACACGAGCACCGAGTATAAGGCTGACAGTATTCAGGGTTTAGGCTTTACGCTCTAGGGCAGCTCAGCGAGCGGGCTGCCGGGGCTAGCTGGCGGAAAAGGGTGTTTAGGGTTTAGAGTGTAGGGTTTGTTCGCAGCTGGCTTTGCTTACTGCGAGCGCCTTGACGGCGACTTTGGGCGGCCAAGACATAGACGAGACTTTAGACTACAACAACAAATTGGCCATTACTAAAAAGATGTATATTTTCCGATACCTTTCTGAGCAACAGACGCAAACCCTCATTCGCGCCTTCAAAACCGTTCGGTAAGCCCTCGCCGGGGTTCACTAGCTCCTGGTGTGGGTTAGGGTTTAGGGCTCATGGCAGGTTCTAGGTTTTAGGGCCCCCTGTAGGGCTTAGGGGTTTTAGGGTTAGCTAGGGTTTCTAGGTTGTTGTTGGATTGGAGTTCAGGGACTGATGCACGTTTGGGTTCGAAGTATTGAGGATTGTGGAGGAATTGTAGGGTTTAGGCTTAGGGTTTGTGGTTTGGGTGCAGGTACACCCAAGGGGAGGCAATTATCCGCGAGGGAGAGATCGGTTCGCGTTTCTTCATTATTAAACTTGTAAGCCCTGAACCATAGCACTTTTCAGCTCTCGCCATTAAATGCATTTAGAAGGTGGGCTTTCCTCTCTAGGGTCTGAGGTTTAGTGTATGAGTGCAGCGGGAGGTAGGGATTTAGTGTTTAGCCTCTACTTCCAGTTTTAATGGTAGAGGGTTTCCGGTGTAGGGCATGTGTGTAGCTGGAGGTGACGATTGCGAATGCTTTAAGCTTTTGGCTTTGGCGTGTAGCGCATATGTGTCTCTGCAGGCGACGATTTTGAATGTAGCCTTTAGATTGTAGGGTTTGGGGTTTAAGGTCTAGGGTCTAGGGTCTAGGGGTTTGTGTGTAGGGAGAGGTGGCGATTCTGAAGGGGGGCCGTCGTGTACGTACTTTGGGCCGCCATGATTACTTTGGGGAGAGAGCTTTGCTGCATGACGAGAGGCGAAGTGCAACTGTTGCAGCAAATAGCCCTGAGGTTGACTTGTGGGTAGTGGATAAAGATGTCTTCCTACAAATTGTTAAGGTACCTGACTCATTAACCATCCAAAAGCCCGAAACCCTTGGACTCTTCGAGTGGCCTGCAAAGCAGCGAGAGAAACGACTTCTTTACACCACGGAAACGTACACTGGACAGACAATTCAGTGTTGCAACGCAAAACCCACACAATATTCCCCACCATGTTTAGGGTTTAGTGCTTAGGGTCTGCATGGCTGCCTTCTTAGGGACCCATGCTAACCCACTTGGAAGAACGTATTCGGATGCAAGACACCAAAGTTGAATTCAAAGACTTGCAGGTCGTCCGCGTCGTCGGAAGAGGTAAGGACGTGCTCTAAGGTTAAGGGTTTAGGGCTTATTTATTGGCGTCTTCTCTGCTGGACGGGGTACCTTTTGGGTGGAAGGGTTTTGGCCTTGGGGAGGCGTTTTGGCGTTGAGTTCATGGTTTTGCTCGTGTGACCGTCCAGACTTTAGGGTTTAGGGTTTAGGGTTTGGGGTGTACAGGCACCTTCGGGACGGTGAAGTTGGTGCAGCACATTCCCACGAAGATTCGTTATGCGTTAAAGTGCGTCTCTCGAAAGAGCGTCGTCGCTTTAAACCAGCAAGATCATATCCGCCTAGAGAGGGAGATCATGGCCGAAAACGACCATCCCTTCATCATCCGACTCGGTCCGAAGGGGTTAGGGTGTAGGGTTTAGGGTTCGTTTGGGACAGAGGGTGCTGGGTTTCAGAGGGGTGAACGTGACGTCTGACATGCGGCGCGTGTGTGACAGGGTTTAGCGTTTCTGTTCTTATGCTTCCGGGTACAAGGTTTAGCGTTTAGGGTTTGGTGTTTATGCAGTGCGGACGTTCCGGGACAAGGACTTTCTCTACTTTTTGACCGAGTTGGTTACGGGAGGAGAATTGTATGATGCCATCAGAAAGCTAGGCCTTCTGGGTGAGGGTTTGGGGTTTACAGCGAAAGGAAAGGGATTTGCTATCTGCTTGCATTTTATGTTTTGCGTTGGAAACAAGGCGTTAGGAGTATGGGTACACCTGGGATAGCTAGGGTTTACGGTTTTTGGGTGTGTAGGGAGGTACCAAGCTCAGTTTTACTTGGCTTCCATCGTCCTGGCTATTGAATATCTCCATGAAAGAAATATCGCCTACAGAGATCTCAAGCCGGAGAACATTTTGCTGGACTCGCAAGGTAAGGGTTTAGGAGGGATATTGAGTGTTTAGGTTTTTGGGTTTAGATATGTCGGTCTTGATTGACCGGCTTTCTTGAGTCTTGCGGCGCACTGGTGTAGGGTCTAGGTTATTGAGGGTTTAGTGTGTAGGGTTTAGGGTTTCTGCGTTTCAGGTTATGTGAAACTGATTGACTTTGGGTGTGCAAAGAAAATGCAAGGAAGGGCCTACACTTTAGTGGGAACTCCACATTACATGGCTCCAGAAGTCATTCTAGGTGAGTGTGGCTAGGGTTTAGGGTCTGGGGGTTTTGAACTGATGGCGTACCCGTCTTTAGAGCTGACGGATGTTGAGGTTTGGCGGTTCAGGCATGTGTGGGGCCAAGGTTTTTTGTTGTTCCCGGGGAGGTGGCTGCATGGTGTCGTTGCATTTGATACGATGAATATCAGGGTTTAGGGTTTAGAATGTTTGCATGCAGGCAAAGGATATACACTGACAGCAGACACTTGGGCCTTTGGGGTTTGTCTTTATGAATTTATGTGCGGCCCTCTTCCCTTTGGAAATGACGCGGAAGATCAGCTAGAAATCTTCAGGGATATCCTTGCAGGTGGGGTACCCGAGGGCTTGTAGTTTAGAATATAGGGTTCAATAGGATCTATGTGACTTGCGAGGCTCCAGTAGGGCTTTGTAGGCTATAGGGGGGTTTTGCGATTTAAAGGGGGAAGGCTTTCGGGGTGGATAGGTTCTAGGGTTTGTGGATCCTAGGGGGCCACCCGTTTAGGGCCGTTTCGGGCCATCTAGGGCTTAGGGTTAATGGTTTAGTGTTAATATTTGCGCAGGGAAGCTGATGTTCCCTCACTACGTGACGGATCAAGATGCAATAAACCTAATGAAGCGACTGCTGTGTCGTCTACCGGAAGTTCGCATTGGTTGTTCTATTAACGGATACAAAGTAGGAGTTTGGGGTTCAGGGTCTGGGCTTCAGCGTTGCCGGTTAAGGGTGTCTCGTTCTGGGGTATAGAAGTTAGGGTTTGAGGTTGAGGGTTTAGAGCTTGCGGCGCAAGGATATGAGCGTGGTCTTCAGCGCGCAACTGCGGCGTCGGTTTAGCGTTTTGGGTTTGCGTGACAGGACATAAAGGAGCATGCTTTCTTCTCGGATTTCGATTGGGATCGCCTAGCTGGGAGAGATTTATCCCCTCCTCTTCTTCCTAAAGGCGAAACATACGCTGAAGACGCAGAGGAGGTAAACCGTAAACCTTCATATGTAGCAGTAAAACGGGAATCCCCAATCCGCACACGGTGTAGACGCCGAACCTTCAGCTGTAAGTACTTGCTGCGGCCCAATGTTAGCACCTCTCAGACGGTTTTAGCAATTTCAGCTGGGGTTTAGGGTTTGTTCTTTTACTTCAGGGAGGGCTGGAGATAGAAGAAGACGAAGGAATTGAGCTGGAAGATGAATATGATTGGGATAAGGACTTCTAAAACCTAAAGCCCCTAAACCCTAGACGGTGTCTTTGCAGTGTTCCCTGCTGCACAAGTGTACAGCCTATCGACCTTCGTCTGGTGCTCTGACCACAGCAGATGCAGCAGCAGCAGCAGATGCATATGCAGCAGATGCAGCGGCAGCAGCAGATGCAAAGCGGGATACTTACACGTAGCGGCAGCGCTGTCTCGGCACATCGTGCTGTTGTTTCAGCAGCAGGAACAGCAGCAGATGCAGCAGGTGCAGCAGATGCAGATGCAGCAGCAGCCTTTGGTGTTGTTGTTGGTTGCTTCTGAGTGGTTTATCTCTCTGTTGTTATGTTTACTTCTTTAGTTCTTCGCATGCTTGTGCTCTCACAAACGCTAAACCCTAAACCCTCATTCAGAGGAGTTGGGCAGGTGTGTTTTCTCTAGGGTTTAGGGTTTAGGGTTTGGCCCTGCTACCGCAGCAGTGACCAGCTGTCAAAACTCCTCATGCGACAAATGCAACGCCCAAATGCTGAGGTGCTCATACGCCCTAATTATGAGGTGCAAATATACCCGCATTGAAGTTTATGGATACAGAAAGGCAGAAAGAGGAGAGTAGACGCAGATGTAGTGACAGAGACTAACAAGTAAGAATAATATAGAAATAATAACGAATAGTGAACTGTCACTACATCTCCTATTGTTGGCTATCAATATAATATTGAGGCATTAATGGCTTGAGTAGCAAACAGGCAAAAAGAGAGGCGTTAAGGCAACGCGAACAGCAATAAATCGCAGGGTCGACATCGAACGGCGCAAAATAATCTTTCGAGGGTTTAGGCTTTAGGGAGCGATCCAAAGGGGCCTATTCTTCTGCAGGCCAATCTTCCACATCTCCACAAGCAGCCCGCAAAACAAACGAGAAGACCCTCGAAGACACATTTGCACGGGGGGCCCTCGAAGGTACCGCCTCACGGGCACCCGCGCGGAAAGCCCCAGAAGTGGCCCAGGGGGCACCGTGGGAAGCAGCAAGAGGGCTCCCCTAAGGGGCCCCCTGGGAAACCCCCTCAGCGGTCCCCCGAGGGGCCCCTTCTTCAATGGCCGCACGGGGGGTCCCACCGGGGGTCTCCTCTTCAATGGTCTGATGCGGGGTCCCGTTGGCGCTCCCCTCTGAAAGGGCTTCCAGCGGGGTACCCTGGAGAGGGGCCTGTGGTGAAGGGGCCTCTTTGTAATGACTAAAAGTTATATCAAATACTTGCTCGTAATCCTCTACGAAATGGACATCAAAACCATCCTAAGGCACCACATCGTAAACACTAAATAATAACAAACCCTGAATAATATCTAAACTCGCGCCGAGAGGGGGAAGCAATGACTCTAGCCCCTTGGGAAGACCTAGCGTAAACACTAAACCCTATACAAACCCTTAACCCAAAACACTTGGCTAGGGGATGCAACGACAGCAACTGTCTTTTGGAGTCTTGGGTTTAGGGTTTCCAGGGGCACCCACCTTTATATTAGGAGAGAGCTCTTCGAAGTCCCGCTGATTTCCCTTGGGGAAAATGAGGGTCTGCAGCGCACATTTAAGGGTTTAGGGTTGAAGGTGACGTATCCAAATGTTTAGATTTTGACGGTACGCTTCCTGAGATTGTTGGGTTTGCCTTTACCTGGATGTTTTCTCGTTTAGCAGCGATGACCTTCTCCTTTATGCCGCCCACCTTCAGAACCTTTCCTGCGTCCACAAGTATCGTGGGTTTAAGGTTTAGTGCTTGCTGGATGGAAGCGCACATATGGTGTGATCACCTACCCAAGCACAGCGACGCTTCCGCGTTTGGGGTTTAAGGTGTACCTGTGAGGGTAAGCTCTCCTGTCATCGCCAAGTCGGGCTTTGGGTTTAGCTGTAGTGCTAGCGACAGCAGAGCCGAAGCCAGAGTAATACCAGCGGAGGGACCGTCTTTAGGCGTTGCTCCTGTAGTAAAACAGCGGTTTAGGGCCTAAGGTTTAGGGAAGGAGAAATGGCTTCATCGACCCCACAAAAAGCTGCCTACAAACCCCAACCCTCCGCTTAAACTATAACCCCCAACTCTCGGCCTACGCCCTACACAGCAGCTCCAAAAGTAGCTGACGCAGCAACAGCAGCACCACATCATCGTAAATAAGGAGCAACAGCAGGAGCAGCAACATCATCATCATCATACATAGCAGCAGCAGCAGCATGAGCAGCAGCAAGGGAAGCATCATCACCATCGACATCATAAAGACTACCAGCAGCAGCCGCAGCAGCACACCTTCGGGTACATGGACATGGAGTGCGTGCTGCTCTAAGAAGGAATTTTCTTTGTCTTTTTTGTTTAAAAAGGACCGAGCAAAACTCAACGCAACTTCGCAGCTTTCACTCATCACTCCCCCAAGCTGACCTGTCACCTTCAGGCTGCCCAAATTCCTGCTCACAAACCCTATGCCATAAACCCTACAGAGTACATTCAGGGTGTTTGGTACTTCTTTGCGGAACTTCTCAAGCAAACACCAAAACCCATTCCATGGACGCCCGACACAAGATCCAAACTGCATCTAGGGTTTGGGGTTTACGATCTCATGTCTCCTTTTCGCGAGTTGCTCTTTCCTTCTTCAGCTGCACTCCTTCCACCTGCCTCCACAAATATTACCGCACCTCCCGTCGCCGTCCAAGCTAACCCCATTATAACTCCTGCACACACATTAACATCACAGCTTTATATATATATATATATATATATA